GAAATATTTCTATAGTGTTTATACTGTATAGTTAATAATGACCCAAAAACTACATAACAAGCTGCTATAATTACTAGGAGTTGCTAGATTTAGGATTCCTCCTATATTGACCCCCAGCCTGCTCAGCCCATACATTATAGAGAGCTGTAAGGACTGAAAACTGACAAATGTTTGCAGAAATATATTTTTGTATTGTTTTCATATAAAGTTTATATACGATTTAGTTATCCTCTACAGGATACATTTTATCTTCCCTCGTCTATTTCTGTATAGATAGAAGACATGAACTACCATGTATATATCTTTACACACTCATCACTATATACTGCTTGAAAAGCCTACTACTTAAACTTACAAGCTTGAATGTATTGTTTGTCCTGATTGTATTCTGAAATTGTATCTGCTAGCACTCGCTATATGATTACATTGACCCAGACTGCCCCATGTGTATCCTATGTGATAGGGGGGGTATTTATCAAGCAGCTAATCTGACCATCACCAAACATTTACTGGGGCATGTGTTTTTAAGGACAGTGATTGATTAACCACCAGTGAATGTTTGGTGAAAGTCACATTCATTTGCCCCATAATACACAGGGATTTACTGTGTCCTATGTGTCTGTATACATTTGTGTGATACACAGGGATTCGCTGATTATGTGGCTATGGTTCTTTTTTTGTGATACACAAGGATTTACTTTGCCCTATGTATCTGTATATTTCTCTGATGTATAGGGATTCACTGTGCCCTATGTATCTGTGTATTTCTGTGAAGTATAGTGATTGCACTGTGCCTCATGTATCTGTATATACATATATATATATATATATATATATATATATATACTGCTGTTGTATATCAGAACATGTCACTAAAACTCTCTATGAACACTTTGTATTCTCTTACGATTGTGTTGCATGTGTTACAACATAATAGTGGACACCGGTACTTATAATCTCTGTGCTCATGTGTTGCTGTATCTATATCTGTAGATGTAGGTGTATAGATGTACTTCTATGGGGGAAACTGATAAAAGTGAGAATTGGGGACCCCTCAGAGCCCCCCCTTCTTCTCCTGTCCCAGTTTAGGAAGTTGAATTGGCTCTGAGAATGGTTCTGGTTTTTTTTTCCAGTGGCTGATCACAGTTCCTCTATGTGCTGTGTATGTGCTGGAGTACTTCTCATATCCCTCAGCCTCCCCTCCCTGCACCTCCTGCATGGCTGCCTTCATAATCAGGAGGACTTTGTCAGGGAACCAGAGAGAGGAATGGCAGAGGGAATTGCCCTCATAAAATCTGTGTTTACCTTTGTATATACAGCTACTACAGCAGGGGATAGAGACCCTCTGACCCCCTCAATTACTTCTGTACACTCTATGTAATTACCATCACCCACTGTCATATAGTGGAGCAGGATAGACAGGTCTGCTTACATATCCTCCTGTCCTTACATATTGTCATATCCACTGTGACCATACTGTGCACCCATCACTGTATACTGTGCACCCATCACTGCATACTGTGCACCTATCACTGTGCACCCATCACTATATACTGTGCACCCAACACTTTGCACCCATCACTGTATACTGGGCACCCATCACTGTATACTGGCCACCAGACCTATACTCAATATATTCACATGTGACTTTTCTAAACTAGAGTGCTATGAAATATTAAATACGAGAGAGAGAGAGAGAGAGAGAGAGAGAGATGCAGAATCTTTGGCTTGGCACATGTCTACACACATATATCCTGTATATTCAGTATGTATATTGTAGAAATGCTGTGAAACACTTCTGCAGATCCAGACACACTGCAAATACATAATCGCTATTATCGGTATACTCCGCTGTATACCAACACAGAGAGCTGCAAGCCTGCAACCTGCCAGCCAGTGTCTCTTCCATAGTATAGTGTACAGGTTGGTGTCACCATGTCATGTTTATTTCTGATACATTACTGCTGATCTGTACATCTCCTGACACACTGCTCTGCCATGAGGACCGGTCTTATCTGTGTCAGGACAATGACCTCTTGCTTAAAAATACACAGAAATTGAGATTTTAAGTCATGATCTTCCAGCCATAAACGTCTTTTAGCTGTAAGGATGTCCGGCAACATTTTCCAGAACTGTAAATGCTGATATGGCTCCTGTAGACTTATTTCAAACTCTTTATTTATTCCTGTTATCACGTGGGGAAAAAAACAAATTAATACAAAAATATAAATAATAAATGACAATCATACAAATCATTCAAAGAGACAGAAGAGAAAGGCATGACGAGAAAGAAAGAAAAAAGAAAGAAAGAAGGAACTAAGTAGTATTTTATATACTAACTCCACACATTGCTTTGATACCGACAGGACAAATAAAAAGAGAAATACACAATCGGTCAATAAATACAGAATGAATGATAATACTGACGTACACTGTGACGGTGCACAGCTCTAGTCGCGATGTACTATCCTCTCGCAGGGAATGGATCGCTGCGTTTTGTTTGCGTCAGAATTGTCACTGCGCTCTAATGTTTCCCTGAAAACTGCAGCCTGGGTTTTCGGAAAGATTGTACCAACTAGGAATTGTTTGTTCATTGACACAAACGTGATCGCTGTAATATCATTTGTTGATTTATTTTAATTTCTCTAAACATGAAGAGAAAAAAAATCTGAATGAGATGTAGTTGAAGGGACTGGCTCCAGATTATTGGAAGATGAAGCAGTGGGAGGATAACGTGCGGATTATTATGCAGGAGAGAACTGTTCTGCTGGATGTTATACTCTATATGTTACATCTAAATCAAATCCAATCAAATATGTATCAAGCCTCTAAAGCAGATTGTCCTTTTATTTTTTGTAATAATATATAATATTTCTGAAAAGCATTCAGAATACAGACAGGTTTTTTCTAATAGAGATTGGGGTAATTGACTATTATAACATAACTGCAAAATGATCTCATTCACATTTTTTCCAGGAAGTTACAATGAAAACAAAAGTAAAAGTACAAAAACACTGCATCACTATGAAGCTTTGTTAATTTTTAATATTATGAAATAAGACTGGGGTAAGGTCTGGAGTCACTTGTGTAAAAGGGTTGAGATTGGTATGGAATAAGGCCGG